TTTGGGGATCATTCGGATGAAACGTGGAAACTTTTTGTGGATAATATAAATTTGTAAAGCTTGAATGAGGGTTTCATAAAGAGCATTAAGTTATGCCTGATTATTATTACCTACTAGAAATTTAATATATGTCCTCTGATGTACATAACTTTCAGTGCTAAAGATACAAAAAGAAGTCTGTTGGCTCTTTGTCTTAACGAACATTACCATGTGACAGACAGCAGCTGTGCATTCATGTAAAATATTCAGACATGCAGGCAGCAGACGAGGAGAATTTTGTCTGATAAAATCTCAAGCTGCAGTTGATGTTGACCTAAAACCTGCGTCCTTGTTAGACGTATGAAGGATTTTTTATCACACCATTTTCTAAACAGCTCTGAAAGGTGAAAACTAGCAAGATCAATGGTTTTTCTGACTGTATTTAATATGAATGTACTGTGCAATCCTTAAAAAGAACAAGACAATACACGGAGACTACATAGACCTGTTGAGGATTAACACACTTTCTTCTCAAACAAAAAAAATAATTTTAAATTCTGTTCATGATGCAGAACATGTATCCGACAGATTTTTCTTTCATTCTACAACATGATTTTCTTCTCTCTTATAGACAATCCGAGTTCTGAGGAAAATGGTGAATGTTTTACCTGTAAGTATAAAACTGATGATCATGGAGAGGTGGCAATATTCAGATGAGCTTTCCACTGCACTATTACCTTCAGACAGGATCAGGAGTTTTATAATTTTGTAGAGTAGATTATTTTTCTCCCTCTTTGCATTTAAATTATTGTTTAATATTAGTGCTTCTAACAACAACAACAACAACAACAACAACAACAACAACAACAACAACAACAAATAATAATAATAATAATAATAATAATAATGATAATTATTATTATTATTATTAATGTTATTTCTATAGTGCTTTTCTAAATACTCAGACGCTTTACATGAGCTAAAAAATATAAAATCAACAATGCATCACATAAGAACACAATAAAACATTTAAAATGGGCACATTTAAACATTAAAAGCAATTTTAAACAATCTGGATTATAAGGTAGCTGTAATCAGCAGAATGATGAGAAATTCTCAAAACACCAGAGGCTGTGCTCCAAAAGGCAATTTATTTTTCTGACAAAAGGTGATGTCAGAAAATTAATTAAGCATATAAGCTTAAGCATTAATGCTTTAATATTCATATCACGTTATCTCCATTATATGATAAATTGGATATATATTCAGTTAGATGGGAACCAGAAGTCACCAGATGAGTAATCCAACCTACCTCATAATCCTAGTCTACCTCATCATCCTGTGGTCTACCTTATTTTCCCAGAAGTTGAGCTCACCTTGCCCTCCAGAGGACCGCTTTAGACTTTGTATGAAATAACCTTGATTTTTTTTTTTCCCCATTTTGGAATTTACCCTTTGACTTTTTAGAATCTACCTCAACATCTGCTGGAATTCTTCAGCTGTATGGACACCATTATTTGCGATTCATCCACCATGGAATTGGGTTGTAAATTGCAAGTGGGGGAAATGTAGTGCCATACATCAGACCACTACTCTCTGACTCTTAAATTTATAGGTTTATACAAACATTCATTTTTGCTTACCTTGCCCCACCAGTCTCTGGACAATATCATAAGACATCTGAGATTTTCAGCTTTTAAGTTGTCACACCAAGATTTATTAAAACAGACTTCCTTTGTTAACTCTCAAGTTTGTTTTTTCTCTCTAAGCATTAAGCATAATAAAATTAATTTCTCATCAGTAAATTGTAAATATCTCCAGTTTTAAGTTAATTCATAAGAATAATTTTGGCCCTGCAGGGTGACGTTCTTATAACAAAGTGCACTTACAACACTGAGGACAGGAGCAAACCCACAGTGGTAAGGAAATTCTATGTCATTAACATAAATTTCAACAGTTTTCTGCAATATATTTGCTGTATGTATTTAATTCTGCTTTGCTTACAGGGAGGTTTTGGCATCATGGAGGAGATGTGCGTGAACTACATTCACTACTACCCTCAAACTCAGTTGGAACTCTGTAAGAGCCACGTTGATCCTGGATACCTGCAGAAATATTTTACCTTCATCAGCAGGTGTGGACATTGTCACCCTCCCTGAACCCACCAACTTGTTCCTTTAGTTTTTACTTCTGTATTATTTATTTATTTACTGACATATTTCAATTATCTGACATAAAAGCTCACAATGTCCAAAGTGTATGACAAGAATCAAATATAATTGCTCAGCAAAATAAAAATATATTGGAGAATGTTTAAAAATTAGCTAAATTTGGTCCTGTTTTAGTTTCATGTCCACACTGTCAACTTCACATTAAAGTGATAGATCAGATCTTTTTATTTAGGGTTTTGTAAAATTACCTGTTGTAGATGGCTACTTGAAATACCTCTCTTTGGATGATAAAATAGCAACAGCTTGAATCATTTTGACATTGATGAGACTGGAGTTGATTTAAAGACTGCAGCAATACTATTTAAATTGGCCCCACTCCAAACACTTGTCAAAAATAAACTATTTTTTCAAACTGAGGTAGATCAAAGCGCTGTCTACAACAGGTAGGATATTTATTCTTAAGCTTTCCACAAACCTCTGCTTCAAATGCCCTGAACTTTTCATTTAACATCTCCAATTATCCAGGTTTAATGGAAACGATCAGTGTGTGTGCGCTGAGGTCAGCGTGACGGAGCAGTTCTCTCAGCTCCACTGGGATGAATTTACTGGAGAAGTGCTAGACTCACTTTATAACACAGCTCCCTTCTACATGCACTGCAACCAGTCGACCGCACGCCTCTTTCCCGTGAGTCTCCAGCAACACACACACTAGTTAAACCAGTTCAACAGCAGTTTTAAGGCAGAGTCAAACTCACTCACTTCCACTAATTTCTTAGATGCATCGTATTTTATACACTGTCCAGAAAGAACTGTGTTGCTACTTTTATGCTACTTTTATAAAAACCAGCTGTTTAAATATGAATGGGAAGATTTGTTTGGCTTCCTAAGAATTTTTTAATAAAAACTTAGTTGTAGCGAAAGGAACATTGTCTTTAAACAGCCCTTCTGGTGATGTTGCCAATTAGCACTTTGCTATAAACACAGATCCATTCATTGTTTTTATCTTCTTCAGGGTGAATGGGAAAAGCAGCCGTTACCAGAGGTAACCTCAGTCCTTCCAAAACCTCGATACCCCTGCGAAGGTGGGACAGTACCCACTAGTTGAACCTGTGCAGCCGTTAGCGGGTCGTTTAATTCTTCAAAGGGTTTAAAAAGTTTCTGTGATGTAGCCGAGTTTGTCTTAGTTTCATCTTAGTGTTAGATGCTCTGTGCATTTCATCCACTATTAGCTGTGATTACACAGCTCCACTGTCTGAGGTTATTATTAGTGCATACTAATTAAGTTAATAACAGTCCTGTTCATGTCATATTTCAAAGAAATTATATGGACTTTCATGTACGACACACACACAAAAATGTTTTTAAAATTAAAGACGCATAGAAAAGATGCAGGCATTAAATGTTTCCTCCAGTATTTTGTTATTCAAACATGAGGTGTGTAAGATGACAAATAATTAAAGTTAATAGTTCAAATGTGGTGTATTTGATTGTTTATTAAAAGATTACAATGTTGACCCCTCTGTTGCTTCATTTCTTTTTCTTTGAAAATTTTCTGCATATTCATCCTCTTATCTTTGGTCGGATCGGGGAGCCAACAGGTGCACGAATTAAACCTATACATCCTTCTCCTCAGCTCCTCTTAGACTAGACTCATCTGGGTCTTTCTTGGAGTCTCCCCCCAGTCGTCCATGGGAGACACGCAGGCATCCCAATCAGAGGCGTGATCGACCTCAACTGACGCTATTCAATGAGGAGAAGCAACAGTTTTCCGGTTCCAGGATCTCATACTTTTGACCATAATCTATACATTATGACTATAGGTGGAGGTTGTAACAGACGGGCCAGTAGGCCTGTCGCAATGAACAATAAATCAATTAATTGCATGATAAATGAAAATGATCAACCAAAAGGCTCAACTCGGATGCTCTTCACTGACCCCTCCCTTTCTCTTTAAAATACATTTTAACCATCCAAAATAGTGTTTTTGGATCGCTAAAAGCAGCTAAGCTGAGAAGCTAAGCTACGAGCTAAGCCAACAGGTTGACCTCGGGGAAAAAACCTGTCTTGTCGAAACTCCAAAATTCACGGTTGAAACCCGTGCCTTTGTGTAAAAAGTTTTTCTCTGCAAAAAAGAAGCTGAGAACTTGTTTATTGATTTTTTTTATTAAAAGCTTTATGTGACAAATCCTATGCTAAAGAGCTCAAACCACAGAGCGTCCGCCATTTTGAGAACCGAAGAGAGACAGCCCATGTCACGTCAAGGGGCCTCTCTCCCATTTTTCTTAAGTGACATGCTGCTCGCTCCCTCACTATCCATCCTTCGGTTCAAACAGTCATATTGCCATACGGTGGTCAAAAAAGGTACTACATGCAAAAAAAATTAACCAACATTTCTTCTTAAATTTGACAATAATTATTAATTATTGTTTGACAATAATTAGACAATAATTACTAATTGTCAAATTTCAAACAATATCATTTATCGCAATAATTTCTTGGACAAATGCCCAGCAAAATTTGTTATTGTGGCAGGCCTACAGACCAGTAGGCTCAGCTTCTCCTTCCCCACAACAGACCAGAGCTGCAGACGACCTCGATTCAGCAACCCATCTCCCCACCTCCCAGTCCTCGTGAAAAAGACTCCCAGATACCTCGACTCTTCTGAGGCAGAGTCTCTCCCCGGTGTCAATTATAAAATGGCACAGAATGTTAAGTTAAAATAACTTTTAATTTCTCAATAAATTGTTCTTGACACAGGAAACAAGTTTACAAGAGTCTGACTAAACAACACATTGTTCCACTTAATTCATCTTTAAATAAAATAAAGATCAGGACACACATTTAAAAAGCTCATCATAAGGTAAATGAAATGATATAAATTTTGTTTAAGGGAAAAAAAAAACCCTTCTGGACACATTGATAACGTTTTATCAGTGCTTCACATTTCCTGCATAGATCTCATGAGGTTTCTACAAAGAGTCACCGTTTTAATGATTGCAAGCTTTCTGGACAGAATCGATGAATCCTTCCACATCAGTAAACATTTAATGCTCAACATGCAGCAGCAAACACCAGAGAGGCACACGGCAGTTTTACATAATGTTTCCTTTGAAGAAATGCACCTTTTCTTAACTGCTGCTCCATCGATGTACAAAACGACCACTGCTTCTTGCTTAGTTTTAAGTGTTTAGGCATAAACATTGATGGAAACTCTACCTCTGACAGGTAAATGGAAGATGCTCGTCTAAACAAGAAAAAACTGCACACGAGAGCACCTGCATTAAAATCAAAGACCGATTTTCAAAATGTCCAATGAGTGATGTTGCTCCAGTTTAAGTGAGTTTAATCTAAAAAAAACCTGAAAGTATTTATTTTAATGACAAAACTCCACGGCTGCCAGAACACTGCTCTTCAAACTTCAATCATTAGATATTTTATGAGCGACTGTGGTAGTTTTGCCAATTAATAATCAATTAGAATAAATAAAAGAAGTATCGTAATGATACGTTTGCAGCGAAGCAATCCATCCATCCATCACAGGGGTTGCTGGTGCCCATATCCAGCAGTCACAGTGCGAGACGCAGGGGACACCCTGGACAGTTCTCAGTCCATAACAGGGACACAGAGACAAATGAGACAAAAGGTCTAGAAAGGTCCCGGGATGGGATTTGAACTGGTGACCTTCTTGCTGAGAGGCAATAGCTCTAACTAAGCCACCGTGCTGCCTGCTACAAGGCAAAGTGTTCAATTTAACTTAAATATAATACAAAATAAGTTTTTACATATACTTAATCTGTTGGTAATCAGTAATATTTAAAATTGGTGCTAATAAGAACTAATGTAATAAAAACAAGCATTCCTTAAAGGGTTGAATACCGCCCCCTTGCATGCCAAAGTTGATCAAATATCCTGTTAGATCTTTTAGCACTCAGAGCATATGTTGAGGATGACTATCAGATATAACCACCTCATGTTTTGGCTCAATATTTGAAAAAAAAAAAAAAAAACGGTCTTTCTTGAGAAATCAAGCTCATAATTTAGACTTTATTTGCATAAAAGCATCGCTAACGTCAACTGTTTTGGTGCCACTAGAGTACCAAATTGATTTGATGAGAAAATGAATTTTCTAGTCTTTTAGGCATAAAAATAATTTAAGTCTTAGAATTAAAACTCGTTTAACTCTTAGACTGAAGCGACTCTTTAATGGCAAAACTCTCATTAACAAACCAGTAAAATCAGATGTTAAATGCTTCGATTGTTTCACATCGTCTAAGCTCGCGTTTTAAAGAAGCGTATTTTCCATCACCCCCAACTCAGTTCATTCAAACAATACTTAAAAGTAAACATTTGAAAAACCTTGCTGTTGAAAATGTGGACCTACAACTGAAATCCCCAACTTTGATTGTATTATTTGCTCACCAGTGTTTCCGTTTTTCTACGTTTGCGGTCTTTTTCAATCGTAGATCCCTTTGACACGTTTATTCTCGGGGTCAAATGGAGATTTGAGGTGAGCTTTGGCCTTGTACGTCACTCCCATCCTCTCCAGGGTGAACTCGCCACTCTTAATGAAATCGGCACTCACCTAATAAAGAAGGACGAAACACAAAGTCCGGTTAAGCAGAATGTAGGAGAATTAACAACCAAAAACGGGAAAAGCAGCGATGAAAATCAAAACATACCAGATGAAAAAACACAAGACTGATTGAAGCAAACCTGCTCAAATTAATCTTTTCAACTGGATTCATGCTCCAAAACAGATTATTTTCTAAACATTCACAACAAACAGAAAACTTTGAACTGTTTAAATGCAGGAAGCAATCAAGGAACTCATGAGTCATTGTCAGTTCCCCTGAAACACAGAAATCTCATTTCCCTGCGGCACTCCCACTCATCAGCCACTCTCCTTCATTTACCGAAACACACACAGCTGTCTGCAGAACTTCAGAGGACGCAGATGAGGACTGATTTCTTAAAGACTTGCCCCAAGCAAAAGGATTTAAACGAAATGTTAAACTAATGCTGCATTCCAAATTAGGATGATTTATACATGAGAAACGTGCATTTTATTCCCCAAATAGAGGCAGGTTCCTAAATAATGCAACTAAAAGTCCATAAATAAATATATAGATTTATCAGTTGCATTTGTAAAATTAAGGTTATTTTAAATATCCAAGTAGAACTGTAAATTTACAACAATAAATCTGAATAAATATAAGAATAAAAAAAAGTAAATGTTACGTATGTGAAAGTTTTATATAAAACTTTCACACAAGTAATATGTACTTTTGTGCCTTCTATGTATTTTTGCATCCAGCTATTTCTCAGATTTTCCCAGCATTCTTTGATGGAATGCATACTGCTCACCGTTTTACTCAAAAACATTTTTAACAAAGATCTTGTGCAATCAGTTAGTACCCAAAGTATGTGTTGGGAAAAGTCTCAGCTACAACCGTATCAAACTTTAGCTCAAGTCGGCTGAGTTTTTTCTATTCTTGTGCTTGAAAGGCTGCTGAGCTGTGGCTGCCATCTTGAGACTGAGCTGACCTCAAATGTTGACAGTTGTTGATGTCAATCTATTAAAATGTATCCAACACTTCAGGCTCACAAACACACACAGACAAGTGCATTATTGCCTGTTGCTATGGATGATGGGCAGTAATGTATAACGAGACCAAAAACAACAACAAGAAACTAATACAAAATAAATCTAGCAGTATAATAATAATGATTATATTCATGGTGTTTGTATAAGCTCTTACCACTCCTGCATTAGGGTTGCGGATGTATCCATAAGCAAGAGTTTTGTCTATAAAAAAGCCATATTCGGATCGTCGCAGGTGACCAACGGGAACACCGTTTCGGAAAACAGCCTCCAAACCAAACATTGGTACTTTCCTGATGTGCAGCAAAAAGAAAAACAGAGGAAGTTAAAATAAGTTTCTTTCAAAGTTCTCAAACTTAAACTACAAAACACCTTTACATGGTTGACCGTTTAAATGCATCAAAGCTGACAAGATTTATAAAGTGTCCCATACACAGAAAACCTAACTTTAAAAATAACTAAAAGGCAGATTTAATTTTGTTCAGCTTCACAACAGAACTGTTACTGACTCATCGATAGTGAAGCAGACGATGCGCCTCTTCAGCCCCTCTTCCTTCTGTTTCTCCAGTCTTTCACGCCCTTGAAAGGGGATGGAGCTCTTCAGTTTGCAGGTGAATGCAAGCCCCGCCTCCAGGGGCGTGTCATCAGGGCGAAGGTCGGCATGCCAATGTCTATAACCTGGAGAAAATTACAGCAAGATATGGTAAAAAATAAATAAAAAAAAGCAAAATCTGGGATTTATGGTAACTTCAGGTACAGAATGACTAAACATCATTATTATCTCTCTGATAAAATGTTACAATTTTAAATCACATCGTCTAAATTCCTTCAAATCAGAGCAGGAACAGGATGATATGTTCACGTTACCCTTCTCTATACTGAGCGAGTCGATGGCTCTGTAGCCTGAGTTGATGATGCCGTGCTTTGCACCGGCAGCCATGACAGCTCTGTAGACGGGAATACAAGAGTCTTTGGGAATGTGCAGCTCCCAGCCGAGCTCTCCGACAAACGACAGGCGCATCGCTCGCACCTGGGATGACAGCGAGGGTACAGAGGAGCTTTAGAGAGAAACAGAGACGTATGTAGAGAACCAAGCTGCCACAGTAACTGGAGAGATTGCTTTAGTACGAAAATGAAAATGGAAAGAAAGCTAAACAAGTATAATTCAAATAAAGGCCAAGGATTACAAACCAACTACTGGTTCATGAGATATTTTACTAACAGACAATTAGGGTCGTCTCCAACAGATGGTGCTAAAATTTTAAATAAAGATAGTTCACGTGTAGCACTTGGTGTATGTTTTTGTATAATAATAACAATAATGTGTTATGTGTATGTTCCCACACAGTGGCGAAATTGACTCTGCATTTAACCCATCACAACTGGGATAGTCAGGTGGAGCAGTGGGCGACTATTGAAGGCAACTGGGGAGCAATTGGGGATAGGGTGTCCTGCTCAGAGACACCACGAGATGGGCAATGACTGGGGATCGAACCTGGGACTTTGTGTCCCAAGTCGGCTGCCCTGCCTCTACACCATCTCAGCCAAGCTACAATCACAACTAATTTAATCATAATATCTGTAAAATTGTCAGTTATTGTTATTTTTGTTGTAATATCAGTTGGCAGTGGATGTTGAGGAAGTTAATGAACTGTATATCTACAGTAGTCCTTTGTGGTTCGTTTTTCGTGGACTCGCCCTATTGCGGTTTTTCAAAGTAAGATTGGACATGACACACAAATGGCTGATTGATGGATGAGCCACACGATTGGCATGAGATTTTTATTTCAAATAAATTATTTTAAATTATTTAGCACCTGATGCACCTGTGTGCAGCCCACAGACGCAGGAGAAGCTTCCTCCTGCAGTGTGTCATATCTCCGCTCTGTAGCGGAGAAGTGGGCGTGGCCAAGAGCGTTGGCAGATGGCAGAGAGCAGCAGGAGGCAGAGAGTTGAGATCATGACATGCTGCGTTTAGAGATTAGAAACATTGTTTAGAATATTGCAAGAGTGTGGGAAAGGTTTAAAACGCCTTTATATATATACACTAAAATAAACTACTAATACTTGTACTACTATTCCTACTTTGCGGTTTTTCACTTATTGCGGGGCTTCAGGGTATGGATCCTTCGCAATAAACGAGGGACTACTGTATTCCCAGTGGTTACTTTTTGCTAATTTTATTCAAATATGTCAAATGTTTTGAGAGATATTCTGCTACACAGACAGACAAAAAAGAAAAATAAATGGTCTTTGCCTTTGGGTAGTTGACGATTAAAAACTTAGAAAAGGAAAGTGTTTTCCACGTCGGTGCATAAACAGCAAGTCCATTTGGCCGGTCAGTGGGTAACTCTGGGCCCCATATGTCCATCATGAAGGGGGAGGGGATTCTACAGAGAAGCATGTGCTTACAACACGCAGCAGATGCATGCATGCCTCACACACGACAACACGCGTCCACTTAGCAGCCAAAAAACACACAAGTTCAAATGCGAGCACAAATTCATCTGAACAACTGTGCACGCCGGCGCACCCGCTACAGATG